TTATCGGTTTGGTTCGCCACATACCATAATTTTAGGTTAAGGAGATCTAGATGTTCGCACTTTTTGATTTATGATCTCTCATTAGAATAGAGAGTTGTTTAGAAATTACATAATGTAAACTCTAGTACCCACGGGAAAATTGAGTCGAACGGTTTGACTTGTTGACTTTAGTTAACTTTGACTTGACCGAAAATTAACGGTTGTCACAATGTTCATCATCTTCTTCGCAATATATGTTCATTGCTTCACCCACCTCTAACCAGACACCATTTACACACATTTGTTCTTCGATTACAATTTCTTGATACCCACTTGGTAATCAATTGAGAAAGGGAAATGAGAGCATACATAAACCTAAACGACTTGAAATGGGGGATCGATTTTAAAGGATAACCTAAGAAAAAATATACACATCGAAAAAAGAAGAGGATAATTTGGTGCGATTTTGGAAAGGAAAGAAAGAAAAAAAGACTTGTGTTTTTCCCTATTAACACTTGAATTGCTGCACATCCATAAACAAAAAGTACAAAAAAAAAAGACAAGAATAGGTCTCTCAAATAGGTTTTTGAGGAAGACACTCTTAATCGTGTGTGTGTGTGTGTATATATTCCATAAACTTCAGTTTACTGAAATAAGGGCATGGTCTTCGATTAAGAGTGGTGAGCCATTGTTTTTCAATTTCTTTGTGATCTAGTGGTCTATAAATGGAAAAGGGGGATGGTTCTTTTACCTTGTTACAATTTTTCTTGGAGGATTGTCAGACACACACACAAACACACCTAAAGAAGATGTTAGAGGAGGCGATGAGGAGTCTACAGTGGCACTAATATGTTATAATGGGTTAAGTGACCTTAGTAACAGATGAAAACAAACTTTAAATCCCTAGACTACAGAAAAATTAAGGGCTTATTATAACAAAACGATAGAGTTTGTAGGGCCCGAGTGATATTATCCCATAATATGAGGCTCATCTCCCTCCCTCCCCCCCCCCCCCCCACCCACCTCTATCTTTGATTTCGATGCTAATGCCAAAGGATTAAACAAGAAAAAAGCAGTTTGATATAGATGAAATTCTAACAACCATCTAGATTGACTTGTGTATATACCATTGAGTTTGATTATGATCTCATAAGCTTCAAGGGTTTAAGGGTCTAGCAACCATTTGTAATAACCCCGAGAGTTCTCGTTGTCTCGAGTTCAAGCCTCATCCCCATTGTTCTTTGAACTTCTTTTCATATGAAGTTACATGTCATGCCACTTCAACAAAATTTCTAATCAGCATGAACTAGAAAAAATATAAAATAAACAAGTTATATAAAAAATATTGCGGCAACTGAAAAAGAGTATATACTTAGCATAAAACTATAAAAACTTTGTAATTTAAAGGTTTTATTGCAAAATTCACTTTAAAAAAGAGGGGAGATGGTGAACAAATTAGAACTAGAATTTTGAAAATTATAGGATTAAAAAAATATTGTAACAATGAAAAGAAACTAAAGAAATTCTTGACATTATCCCAATGAAAGTAAATTATACAAAATATAAGAATCATTCTCCCCAAATTTAAGAGAATCTTCATAACTTTTTTTCTTATAACTTAATATTGTTTTGTATTTGTTCATTCAATCTTATTAAAATATATATCTTATTTGTTTTTTTTTTTAATTAAAATATATATCTTATTTGTTTTTTTTAATTGATCATACAATATATATTAAATGGTCAACATAATTATATGTTTTTGTACATTTAACCATTCATCCTCTAAACACACTTTATTTAACTTATTAATTATATTTTAGTTTTAAACAATTATTATTTATTTACTAATTAATTAACTTAATCAAATATTTAATTAAATTTAATAATTGAAATATAATTTTATATAATTATTGTTATAACTATGACTTATTAGACTTTTCGTCTTAATTTTTTACTGAATTGTAATATATATAAGCTCTTTTTAAACAACATATAGTAAGGTTTCTAATAATTTAAAGTATGATTTATGTTTAATACTATAGTTACCCATGAAAACTAAAACCTAACCAAAACTAAACCAAGGTCCAAAAAGCCTCAAACAATCAAACATCATTTTAGATCATCATCATCATTATCATATGAGTTGGTCACATCATCAATCATCCCATGCCAGATTGCCATCCACTTGAACTCTTGAGGCCATGAATTTGGCCGTGTCACTACTCACTAACGATCTTCTTTTTGTTTATTTTCGAAAATCTTGGATTCGGCTGTCGCATGAATATTTGTGTACAAAATATCCAAATTGGCGTTGTTAAATAAATTTAAAAGATATCTTGTGGATAATAAATACTTTTAAAAAGGTATTTTGGTCGTTTTTCAACTGTTATATATATATATATATATATATATATATATATATATATATATATATATATATATATATATATATATATATATATATATATATATTCTAAAATTCGGTACAAATGTACCATCTTATCTTCTTTTTTTGTTCGATTTTGTATCACTTTTCATGTTATTTTGTTTCGATTTGCTTTTTGTCTATATTTTCCTTTTTTTTAACGATTTCATATCTTCAGTATTATTTTTTAAGATCTTTGGTTTCAGTTTTGATTTGTTTTTTATTTGTGTTTCATACCCATTTCTTTTGTATTTTGTTTAAGCGTAATATTACTTTTTTTTATATATATAATAAGAGAAAAACAAATAAAATAAAATAGAGATATATACAAGAGAGTCAATTTAACTACAGGACAAACAACTTCATCTAAAAAGCATAAATACGTGGACGGCTGAGATTGTTCCAATTGACAAGCATTGGTAGGTTACTTCTCCCATCAGTTTCCTACCTTCTCGCTGGTGGTCCACGTTTACCCTGTGTGGCCCTACTACACAAGGCCCGACATTATCAATATATAATATATATTCTTTATTTGAATGTCAAATTTTAGCTTTAAACGTTAATTACATTCACTACAATTAAAAGCGAAATAAACTATTTATCTTTTTAATTATTTTATGCATATTTTAATATACTTACTTATTACTTTTTTTTTAATTTGGTTTAAAAGAAAATAAACAAATACAAAATATAAATTTAAAGTGGTTGTGTAAAAATATAAAATCTAAATACGAAACCAAAGAGTGTTTGGACATATATTTCATTCAATTCAATAATATAATATCAGGATTTGTCGTTATTGTTCATAAAAGACGTAAATTTTTACAATTTTGTTTACATATTGTTTTTTAATGCTCATAGTTTACCAAACAAATATTTTATAATTATGTATACTTTTAAACAATATAAATACATCTACATTATACTCTACAATATCCTTTATTGTAATATTATAGCTATTAAATGTCAGATGACATATAATATTGTTTATAAAATTGATACAATCAAACAAATAATAACCAGATGGCTAAAATATATTGGTAATAGAATAAGATATTAACATATACTAATTTTCTCTACATCCCTTATGATTGACTTATATAATGAAGCAAATTACAAAAATTGACTGAAAATTAAAAACACATACCATTAAAAGATTAACACAAATAAAAATATATTTTTCAAAATAAGTAATTAAAGCATTATGTTTGACTTATATAATGAAGCAAATTATACAAAAACTGACTGAAAATTAAAAACACATACCATTAAAAGGCAAACACAAACAAAAATATAAATTTCAAAATAAGTAATTAAAGCTTTTGTTCTTTACGATACTACTACTAATTCGATCAATTGAGGTAACTTTTGATTATTCTAAGGGTGTTAAAGAAAACCCAAACATAATAACTGACCCGAAGCAACATAAAGTTTCGGTTATTCGGTTAAAAGCTTATTCATTTTGGCCAACCAAATAAGGAAAACCTTACTTGGTTCAGATTCAGTTATTTTTCTTTTTATCAGGATTAACAGGATAATCCGAATATGATATTAAAATATTACAACTAAAAAATTTATATCTATATTTTAAGACTAAAAACCACCATTAGTTAAATAATTCAAAAAAAGTTCAACTATGTTTAATTAGTTATTTATTTTTTAACTAGTTTATAACCCGTGGGAGTCACGGTTACAAAATAAATTAAATTTTCATAGTAAAAATTCATAAATTATTTATCAATTATTTTAAATAAATCATTAATTACGAGATATAGCAAATTTTTAAAGTTATTATAACTTCAAATTTAACATATAATTAGAAAAAATAAATTTGAATTTTAAAGTGTTGCATAATGTATCTCTTTGACATGTGAAATGATATTAATGATGAGTTGTATTAGAGTGACACATGTCAAATGGAGATTAAAACTATTCATTTTTATTAGAATAGATAGATTTTTAACTATCACTTTTAGTTATCTAATAAAAGTTTTATACAAGATAAAGTTATCTGGAATGTAAATTGTGATTTGTCATATTTTTTATTTTATAACTATTAAATGATTTATGTTTTATTTGGCAAGCAACATGGGATATCTAGATTGTTTTATCGACCTTTCTCACATTTTAAAAGCATGAAGCTTGAAGTAGACTTAATTTTTTAGATTATTTGAAAATGTTGATTTTGAATGGACTTAAGATGATTTTGAACCAAATTATCCGATATAAGAATTACCCAAATTACCCGAAACCCAGTATCCGAATTGCCTAAACCCTAACAACCCAAAAACCGAATACCCAAACCTTAGATGGTTCAGTCTCAGTTGGTTTATGCATACCCCAAAAAATTGATTTACTCGAACCCAAAAACCGATTATGATGTAGTACTTCAAAGTTGGAATTTCATTAAAACTTACATATTTTAAACCTATAATACTCAATAAATAAATAACAATGAATAAACATATTATAACGATTATTCACTAGTAAAATATTATATATTTTCTTCATGATAAAGATGGCTTTAGTTTTTTAAGACTATCAAGATTAAGTATGGAGAATTGGAGATGAACCATAAAGATATATTAAAGAAGGTAAAGATAATCTCCCATCCCTTCTATAATTAGAAAGTAAAACACACGGGGCACTTGTCGGCTCCATTAACCCGCACCAAGATTCTTTATTAGGCACAAAAAAGTTCACTGAATCACGGACCCTTCAACTGACCACTCCTAATCAGGCACACACACACACACACACAATCCCTCCCTCACTCCCAAACGTTTTCTGTTTCATAATTCATACTGTTCATTCGACAACCAATTCAGGTAATTTTTACATTTCCTTCCTCTTTCATTTATTCTTCCACTGTTTCTGGACATGATTTTAACAATTTCCTTTTCTGATTACTCCAAGTTCAATGGACTTGGTTGTTTTCTTTCGTTTTCTCACGTTATCTTATCGAATTCCCAGTTCTTCAAGTCATTTCACTTTCGGAATCGGGTGAAATCATGTCTTTTTTTATTTGGGTAGATTTGATGTTGAAATTGTGATCCAGAATTAGGGTTTTTGTAACCATACCGATCGTCAAAAGTTTTTTAGAATATAGTGGAAGTAAATTGCAATTTTGCTAGTATGATTTGTTGTTGGTGAGAAAGTCAATTTGATTTACAGGATGTTTAATTTGACTTATCTTTGTTGAAACAGTAAGCTTTAATTAGCTTTCATACCGATTCCAATTCCAGAGTTTTTACGAGAGAATTATGAACTTCAAAAACTTGGGTAACCAGACGGCGGAGGTGGGGAACGGAAGACCACCAGGAGGGTTCCATTTAGCAAGACAAGGCTCGATATATTCGTTAACTTTCGATGAGCTACAAAACACCATGGGAGGTAGCATAGGAAAGGATTTCGGGTCTCTGAACATGGATGAATTACTAAAAAGCATTTGGAACGCCGAGGAAGTTCAAACAACCGGAACAAACACCGGCGTACCAGAACCCGCCGGTGATGGCGGAGCAAATATACAGCGCCAAGGATCATTAACTCTACCACGAACGTTAAGCCAAAAAACAGTCGATGAAGTCTGGAAAGACATCTCCAAAGAATTCACCGGATTTGGCCAACCAAATTTACCTCAAAGGCAACAGACTTTGGGCGAGATGACTCTCGAGGAGTTTTTAGTCAAAGCCGGAGTCGTAAGAGAAGAACCTCCTCAGCTACCTTCTAAACAAAACGATAATGGTTTGTTTCCTAATTTAACAAATCCCCAAAACAATTCCGGTTTCGGTGCTACCGGATTCCAACAAGCTCCAGCTCGGAATAACAACCAGATTGCATTCCAGCCAGCTAATTTACCATTGAATGTCAATGGAGTCAGATCAAACCCGCAACAACAACAAATTTTCCCGAAGCAACCCAAGCTTTCATATGGAGCTCCCATGGCAGCGATTCCACCCAGCAAGCAGATAGGTAGGAATGGAATCGTGGGTCTTTCCGATCCGGCGATGAACGGTAATCTTGTTTCAAACGGAATGATGGGGGCAATGGTCGCTGTAGGATCTCCGGCAGTTTCATCAGATGGAATTGGGAAAACAAATGGAGATACATCATCGGTGTCACCTGTTCCTTATGAATTTAGTGGAGCTATGAGGGGGAGGAAAAGTGGTGCAGTGGAGAAGGTCGTAGAAAGGAGACAGAGACGAATGATCAAGAACAGAGAGTCGGCTGCTAGATCACGTGCTCGTAAACAGGTTAGTGTCTTTTTTTCTTTTCTTTTTTTTTTTAAATATATTTTTGGGCATTTGTGTTATTTGGGTAATTTTAGTGACGTTTCTTTCTTTCTTTCTTTTCGGGTATTTAAATTTCTAGGCATACACCATGGAACTGGAAGCAGAGGTTTCAAAACTGAAAGAGCAGAATCAAGAATTGAAACGGAAGGTAAATATAATTTTATCTGAAAGATAAAGTTACAAAACAGAAATTATTTAAAAATCTTTAATCTTAAAAAATCAGGCTTTTTGTGGAATGGAGGTATCATATATATCGAGATCTTTGATTTGACATACGTTACATTTTTTGCAGGCTGAGATGATGGAAATGCAACAGAATCAGGTATTACAAATTAAATTTGTAAAATGATAGACATATTTGGGAAAATGGAAGGGGGGAAAAAAACAAATTAAAGAAAATTTGTTAATAGTTAAGAATTTATTTCCATGAGTTTTTGTGTTAAGTTTTTGTTTTTGTATGATAATAGCAGGTTATGGAGATGATGAACACGCAGCCTGGAGCAAAACGACGCTATATGAGAAGGACACAGTCGGGTCCATGGTAAAGGTGTGAAAAGTCTGATTTAACCCTAGTTGACCAAGGTTTGTTGGCGTTCGACAGGGGCAAGGAGGGAAGTCTTTTTTTTATTTGTACATATTTGGTAGAAACGGGGTTTAGCGTTTAGAATTAAGAGAGTGAGTCATATATTTGTGTAAGATCGATATCAAGCTTTTTTAAAATCCATTGTCACATGAATCAGGATAAAAAGAAATACAAGGTTAGGTTTACATATTTCTATAGGCAAAAATCTGTTTGTCATGCATGTTGTGTTTTCTCTATGGTATTTGGTATTTGATTGCAAACTAACCGTTATTGTGACAATATCAAAAGATTGTGCACAGTTTTATATATAAACTAGATTATTACATGACCGGGAACATAAATTAAATACATATCGTATTAATAGATGGTTTTGTCTTAGGTTAAATTTTACTAAAAGAATGTTATTTAGATTCATTTTTAGAGTTTTTGAACCAAACTTATTATATAAAAATATTTAATATTTATATTAGAGTAATTTGGTTTTTTTAATACAGTGATTTTTAACATAAATGATCTATGTAGTCATTGTTTTATCACAACATATGCGACTTTTTGATTAAAACATGTTGTGTAGTAGTTTTGTGAATTGATTTTGTCCGGTGTACCAACCTCTATGGATGCTCATATGGTTCTTTTCATATTGGTTCTGTAAAACCAAAAGCAACAATAAATTGTTACATGTACCATTAACATTAAATTTTGCAAAGAAACTTGATAAACATTACAAATAAAGTGAACATCAAATTCAGACATTGTAATTTGGTCGATCTCAAAGTATTTTTTCCATATAAAAATTAAAATATGATTTTTTCAGGCTACACCCAATAAAATCTACATATCTTCCTATCAAAAAAAAAAAAAAAAAAAAACATGTTATGTAAAAAAAATATAATATTAGTTTCATAATTTGCTAAAGGTTAATATTAATAAATAATAATTAACTTTCACAAATCTTACATTTTTGTCACTACATCCAACTAACAAATGAAATTCAGTTTAGATGATTGATTCAAGAAGTGTCTTCATAACTTCTTATAGCTGAATTTTGAGAAATGTTAAAACCTACTGAAATAGAGGGAATGGTCTTTGAGGCTACTGTTGGTTTCTACAAGGCAATACAAATTCAAAATCGTTAGCACATATCTTTCCTACCTGCTTTAATTATCAAATATAGATCAAACTTGTCAAAATCAAATTACTAAAAAAAAAAGATATGTAACCTAACAATCAAACAACATATTTTTCATTGAAATAAATATCATAAATCTATAATTTACAATTTATACATTATTCTTAAATTATATATTACCTTTTCATCTTTAATTGTCACTAACATCTCTTCCTGCCTCATTATTGTGACACACATCTCTATCGAAAATAAAAGAAATAACTATAGAGAAGAATGTTGATAGAGTGATAATTCATTGAGAACGCAATAAAATTCTTCATAAAGCCGTTAGGATTCTTCTATAGACCGCTAGATTGTCTATATAGTGACAACCAGTGTAACATCAATGAGAACCAATATTTTAAAAACCGCTTTGAACAGGCCGGTCGAACCGGTTGGACCGGGAACTGGGAGAGAGAGCGGTTCAACTACCACTGATTTTACATTAATTTCTGAACCGGATTGAACTAGCCGGTTTTTAGAAAAACCTGGTTAAACCGGTCAAAATAAACCGGTTGAACCAGTTAAACCTAATAAAAGCACATGAAAAAAACTCATTTACATAACAAACTTTGGTGATTTTTTTTCAAAATTATTTAATTTTCTCTAAATAAAAACATATGGTAAATTTTATAAACTTTTTTGATGTGTTTGTATTAATTTAAAACTATATTTTGTTTTGTATTATACTTTATTTTCTTTTTGACGTATATGGATTGATATAAAACACTAAAACTTATGTTTATGTGTTATTTTAATGTATTTGGATTCATCTACAACTTATTTGTATATGTATTTTTAATGTTTGAACTTGTAAAATCAAATTCATAATTTATATATGTATGTATAGAAAAATGAAAAAACAAATGAAAAATATAGAAACCGGTTTATCCGGCGGTTGAACCGGAAACCGGTCACCGTACCGGTTCAACTAAAAAACCGGTTTTTAAAACATTGATGAGAACGCACCACTTAAAATAACAGGTTTGATATGTACGTGAAAAAATCATTTAGAATGCTTATCAGTTGTGATTGTATCCACTTGGATGTGAACATTAACATTCTGTGTAGAGAAATGGAACTTCAAATGAAACCTATATAACCAAATCAACAAACATGACAACACAAAAAGAAACCTAACTTGGCATATAACTAAATTTCCAACAAATTTCAAAATTTTAAGGTTTTACCGAACAATTTTTTTAATTTGACAAAGTTTTATTTTATTACAACCTTATGTGAGTAATCAAGAATCTAAATCAAGTGAAATAAGTAATTATTCATTTAAATCCAGTAAAAAATTACAATATTCTGAAATTACATATAATTTACATGTTTGCTTACTGTCATGGAGGCACCCGACCACTTGGATATGTACTATTATCTGATTAATTAGTACATAAATTACATTATAGAATATGAAATTTAACAATTATTCAAATTCATTTACATTTGATTTAACAATATAAAATGGACAACTTTATAATCATAAAAGTATGCTTAATTCAACAAATTTGTTATCAAAATTAATAGAAAACTGAGTTTCCTAAAGAAACAAATCAAATACACAAAAACAAATAAAAAACAAAGAACATTTGAAGATCATGTTAGAAATGTATAACCAATAAGATCTTTTTGTCACTTTTCAATATATACATGGTTAATCTTTTCTCATCTTCAGGATAATAAGTACAAGCGAGTAGAGAAAACAAAATTATAATCATAAAAATATGCTTAATTCAAAAAATTTGTTATCAAAGTTAATGGAAAGTATTTTTGTCGAAATAATCAATTATTAACTATGTTGGATATTACCACTTAGGGATTTTGAATTTTGCATCATCCTTAAGCTTCAGTAAAAACATCAACTAATGCTCATCACTTTCAAGTAAAAATCTCTGCAATTTAAACTTAATTATTGTAAATCTAATCAATAGCGTTATAGAAAAAGGTAAGGTTAAGAATAATTACATAAAGTTATTGAGTTAGATAGTTGGGAATCGAAAAATAGTAATTTAACATGTATGAGATTGATTATTATCTTCAAAACTGGAAGTATTTACTATATTAATAAGAATTAAATACAAGGTGACTATTTTGCCCTTGATTAATTTTGGTACCGTCGATGTACACTGAGAAAGAAATAGAATAATTAAGAAGATATATCATGTTGATTTGCAAACATATAGGATGGTCAGTGCATAAGTTATGGCTTCAAATTTGGGGAGGAATTGAATTTTATTTTATAGATAACAGAAATTGGTGAAGGTTTGAGCGGAAACATTGATGGACAACATGTCCGACCAAACATTGGTCAAGATGACGTAAACAATTTGATCTAAGGGTGGAAAAGGTATAAATGAAACACAATCAAAAATATTTATTACTTTAGATGATGAAATAAAGTTTCTCTTTTAGACATAGAAATCAAGCTTCTATTTTGTAAATGTAAATGTCTTACACAATCAAGATGATGTAAAAAATTTGATCTAAAGGTGGAAAATGTATAAGTGAAACACAATCAAAAATATTTATTGCTTTAGATGATGAAGTAAAGTTTTTCTTTTAGACATAGAATTCAACCTTCTATTTTGTAAATGTAAATGTCTTACACTTGGGTTGTGGTGACTTAGTAAAACATGTGGAAGATATAGTGGATAACCATTGTAAATCATAAGACTCAATCCAAAATCGTAAGAATAATCACTTCTGTGTAATCGTATATATAGGGTGTTTTTTATTAAAGAAATCATTATCTTCTAAAAAAATTTGGATCCTGAGATTTCAACTTGGAGATTTTTGACTATTTATCTGGAAAAAAAAAAAGATATCAGCTATATTAATTCAAAACTTCAAATTAATTGACTTTCTTATTTAATCAGTTTTACAATTCAAACAATTATCTCAAATTGATTCATTCTATGTGGGATATACTATGAGATAAATTATGAATAATATTGAATCTCAAATATTTTGATGATTTAATGGGATTAGATTAGATTTTATAGGTTAATAACTTAATTATTGATATATTTGTTTAATGAGTTTTTTGAAAAAAAAATAAACAAATAATAAATATAAACAGGTTTGAATTTGGAAATCAAAATCTATAAATAAGGAAGTTAAATTAGAAACAATATTAATTAGAGAAACTAATATCATGTATATAAGTAGAATGATATGTTTTAATTGATAAAATAATTACTGAACTTAAAAATTCTATAATTGTTACAAATTTTATTATTAAATCTAATTGTGTTTGAATTTTATTTGAGGAAGTTGATGTCAGCAATTTGATCTAAGAGAGAAAAACATATAATTAAAACACAATCAAGGGCCCTAATTGTTTCATTGGTGAATTAAAGAATCTTTTTTAACAATATTTAAAGACTAGTCGAATACTCGCGCGTTGTGCATAAATATAATTATTTAATTAAAATAATAACATTTAACAAATTATGATTTAATATTTATATATGAAAAACCAATGTCAATAGCAAAACCAACTCTATAGTTAACATATTAATTTGATTAATTTTAATAAATTTATACCATTAGGTATTTCAACTATTAATTCATAATTTTATAGATCGTTTTATGTTGTGTAAATTATATATCAAACATATATTGATTTTTATGTATATAGAAAAACAAAGTAGTACGAACAAAATAAATACTATAACTTTTTATGATTTTATAGAACGTTTTAAGTTGTGAAAATTATATATAAAACGTATGTCGGTTTGTATATAAAACAAATAACAAATAGTTTGAAAAACACTATAACTTTTAATAAAAGAAAAACATTACAACATTATAACATTTGCATCAAACAAAACTTATTAAACACTTATAAATAATTCAAAATGAATATTTAGAAATCAACATACATTTGAAATATAGAAACAATGTTATAAAAAATTTGTGTTGAAATAACCACTGATGAGACAAAACGTATTTTTTTTCAACTCTTTCATTTTAAACATATGATATTTTAATCAAAACTAACTTATATCCTACTAATATAGCTACAATGTCTATAATAAATAAGTAGAAAATAAAAAATCATTGCACGTTAAAAACCATAAGTTTAAAAAACTTTTGAATGTAGTGGAAAATATAAAAACAAGTTACATAAAATTTGAAATCATAATTATATTTAAATAAAAAAAAAACTATTGAGTTGTAGTGAGAGTTTTAAACTCTTGATTTGTACCCAATAATGTAATATA